GTGTGTAGCAAGCTACAGTACGGGCTGTTTTGTTATATGGCTGTGAGACTTGGCCTATTCGGGCAGCGGAACTGAAACGTCTTCAGCTGTTCGACAATCGTTGTCTCAGAACCATAGCTCGTATGGGTCGGTGTCGGCGAAACCGTAACGAGGCAGTTAGAAAGCGCGTTTTCGGTTGTGTAACGGGTACTCCCATTGAAGAATATGTCCAGCACCAGAAGTTGCGTTGGTTGGGACGTGTGTTGCGCACGCCAAACCATCGTTTGCCGAAGGGAGTGCTGTCTTCCATGCTCAACGCAGAGTGGCGTAAACAGGGAGGTGGCCAACCCTTGACATGGCAGAGGAGTATGAAGGAGATCGCGAAACGCTTGGGCGCTGTTGGTGCTACTCGCCTTCCAGGATGGGACCGCGTGATCCCCACTGTGCCTGATTGGAAACACTACAAGATGCGGCTGCCGACCGATGTCAGTGGCGTTATTGTTGTCAGTTTCTATCCAGGTCGCCTAAGTGAATGTCTGGAGGTGTAGGTACCTCGGAATGATTGTGGTAAGCTAGCATTAAGTCCACCTTTACTCTTTTCTTTACAATAAGGCTTTCAAATAGATCATGGTCGTACGGCAGTGAAGCATCAGTGTTGAACACTGATGGCATGCGGTCGATGATGATGATTGCACCGTTTCTCCTGTTTACTAAAAGCCACACTAGCATCAGCAAAACGGAATGCTAGCTCACGATCAACGTTCAAGTTAGTGAACAATGTACCTCCGAGGTAGCAGAAGTCCGTCTAGTGGTCCAAGCTCTTGGTGAGTGGAGTGTTCATAACTGCGGCTGGGGAAGTTGATGGGGGACGAAAGCCCTCTTCATGTTGATATTCATGCTAGACTGCGCGGCAGCAGTCGCACACTTATCAGCTAGGCTCTGTAGTTCTTCAGGCATGTGTGAACAATACGCAGTCGTCCACAAGCAGGATCAACCAAACTTTTCGCATCAAATCATCTACTCTTAGACAGATGCTTATCAAGTCGATACTCGAGCTGTACGTCAGTACTGTCGTTAAGTAAGCCGCGTTCACGGCTGTAATTAGAGAGACTGTAGAGAGTGGATGAGGTATTTCTAAATCACTTGAAGTCGATTCACTCGCACCATGCACGCTTCGGATAAGTTTGATGGATTCTAGTAATCAGCCGTATTTGAAAATAAAAAGTCCAAAGTACTTCTCGGTTGAATTCTACGAGAGCATGAAGCGGCTGGCGATGTTCGCGAGGCTTTTCTTGAGAACTTGAAGCAATTATTAGGTCCATTGCGCCACG